TCGTATTCTTCAGGCGCTTTTCTCATTTCAGCCGTTGCCTTGAACAGAAAATAGGAGCCGAACGGGTTATGGGAGCTATAACGCACTGGACCCATGTCCTCTAGTTCTCAGTTCAAATCTCGGCTGGGAAACTTGCTGCTCTGACAGACTGTTCGTGGATTTCATGAGTTTGTCTAGGCAACTGTTCGATAGAAACTGGATTAACTCACGATTGCTTCCTTCTGAATCCCTTCCAATTCACCATTTCTCCTACAATTCGATGCTGTATTTTCTAGCTATTGAAGACACGAAAAAACATACTGGACACAGTAACCGAACGTTGCAGTTGATTGGTCGACTCTCTTTGTGAAACTCTTTCGAGTATCAGGCCTGAGACTGCTATTTCCCCACTCCGCCCCCATGGCTGTACAGCCCCTTGGACCTTGGCCGTTCTTTTTTTGGAGTCTTAATCCTAGACATAGACTGCAGGCCTCCTTGGACGAGGGATCAGCCCGTCGCAAGGCCGCTACCTACACACAGAATAAAACTACCGTCATAGTACTAGGTGAAGAAATTCTTTGTTAGGTGACATATTCCATTTTTCGCTTACACAAAATTATTTTTTGTAGGTCATTAATTTCATTTAATTGTAATTTCCTTCTCAGACAATGCAAGCGAGAATTTTGAAGAAAATAAAAGCATAAATAAATTCGGTTTCTAGGAACTTTTAAAGGAAAGAGGACGGTAGGATTTGTATTCTTACATAGTTAAAACGACAAAATATTTAATGACTGTAAAATAGTTCCTATAATTTAAGAGGTATATTGACACTCAATATTTGCCACAAATGCATAATTAATTCACACTGATTCTTAACTATTTGAAATATAATAAAAACAGCTAATGCAGGGAGCAATAATACCAGCCTTGTACTTAAAATACCTCAATTTTTAGCTACAGCGAAACAATTAATTTGTTAGAGCCGTGTTTCGTGCATTCCAATGAAGTAGCCTTTATGTTTCCTAGCTTCAAAACTTCGCTTCCGGCGTAAAAAGAAATATTCAGGAATTTCAAGTTGCATTATGTTGTAAAATGGGCTGGAACATTTGCTCGAAACGTATGTAATGCGAGAAGCCCAGGAATGTTTCATAAAAAAGAAGAGTTATAAATAAAAACGATGGTATGTCGAAACGTGAAAAGGAAGATGAAGAAAACGTTCTCAAAAATATGTACCAAACTACAGAACCACGCAAGTATATGCTAATGTTATATAATTGCTTTGGTGTAAGATTTTCAGATAGTTGGGGTGGAAAGCGACAAGAATTTTGGCATTTTAATATTCGTTCTGGCTCTGCAGTAGTACAGAATGTTCTAGGAACGTGTGCGCCAGCAAAATGTACACCGTTTTAACAGAACATGAGTGTTCAACACCACTAATATCAAAGCTACCATTGAATGCGACTTAAAGGCAATTTCATGAAGTTCATATCTTCCTGAGATCCCTCCTAATGTTATCCTCCCATTTCCTCTGGATTCCAAGTGAACCAAAATTATAATTGTCCACGCTACACGTTTAGCCCATCGTATTCTACTGTGTTCCACTGTTATAATAATAATAATTGGCGAATTCTGTAAGCGATATATCTGAGAAGAAAGCATACATCGGTTTTAAGTAATATTTTCCGCATTTTGTCTGTCATGAGTGAGGCCTGTCCATCAGGAATATGATTCATCGCCTTCTTTTGATCGTACTAATGTAAGAATCCCTTCTTCGCAATCCCCACATATGGATGTCTTCCCGTGACCTGATGGTGATATTTGCATTTTGCCTACTCACTTGCTTTCCATCACATGAAATATGAATATTGAGGCCTATAGACCCGTTGCTAGGGAAAGAAACCTATAAACAAACGAGGAAACGAGGACATCCGTTGCTATCCAATAGGCGAATGAACAAACGGCCGTTTCTATACAACGGGTCGGTAATCACTCCTACAACAATACATGAACTGTTTGGTGTTGTATTTTCTGTTGGGTCCTCCCAGGGGCTGTATAACGAGGACCCCATAGTTCAAGCTTGACAGTTCAGTTGTAAAAAAAAAGTTAGTTGCAAGATTTCGGTTGTAAAAAGAAGACTTTATATGTGTTGTAGTTACAGTGAGATTCTTATAATTAGTGTGTTAGAAGCCGTTGCCAGGTAATGGCTGTTGAAGACACATCAGCCCGGAAAAGGTTTAGCGGCTGCTGTAGTGAACTGTAAAGTGTGTAGATCAGCGATAGCGCTGTAATTACCTGTAATCCCGAGTATTGTGTATAAGTGGTCAATAAATCCAATCACCAATCCATACCCCATCCATAGTAACACCCCCAAATACGTGACAACATCAAGCCAGTGAAGACCCATCGATTCTTAATGGTTAATGAATATGGAGCAGTTGGTGGAGTGAGACTTACAAGATGATACCGTAGTACTCAGATAAAACCTGCCCCAGTGCCATGTCTTCCACAACTAATCCCCTATGATCTGACCTGGCCTCAATCACGGGCCATAGTGTGGGAAGATCTTCTTCTATTCCTGTTTCTCCCACTTGGAGCATAGGGCATCCATAAAACGCTTCGTTTCACTTCAGTTTCTTAAGCTAAGACAGCCATTAGAATTCCTTTGAAGGGGGATCAGCCCGTCCAGTAAAGGAAAACGAAAAAAGAATAGTGAACAGGGGCACGCAGTAGCGTAGTTTGTTGAGACACTATGCTACAAGCCGGAAGGTCACGGTATCGAATCCCGGTGAGGTGGATTTTTTCAATTTACCTAATCCTTCCAGCCGCACTATGGCCCTAGGGTCGACTTAGCCTCTAACAGAAATGAGTACCAGGAATATTCCTGGGGGTAAAGCGCGGCCGGCGCGTAAGGCTGACAACCTTACCGCCATCTGTGAGCCGATTGTTTACAGAATGTGAGAACCTCAACATCTCACAACACTATCGGCCTCCACAGCCTGTTACAGGGATACCTTTACCTACCTTTTTAAGAAATAATAGTGAATTCTGTTGAGACGATACAAAAGCTCCAAAAGTCAGATCTATACAGTGCAACAGGACTCCGAAATATAATATTATCAGAGTGTTTCTTTTTCCACATCGCCGGTAGATAGTATGATTTCCATACACAGTTACAGAATACAGAGCGACTTCATCTACGTTAGCCCTTAGGTAGGCCGCACACTGGCATGCGTCAAGACACGATGTCTGCGACATGACGCAAAGAAAGGAGCACAGCTGAAATGAATGAGATTATGAAAACCGTCGCAAACCTATCTGAGTCATGATGCTGACGAATCACGAATGAAGCAAGACTGCGTATTTTGTCTCATGTGTTGATGCTTGTCTTGACGCAGTTGGTGTGCGGTCGCCCTTATACGGTGTGTAAGTGAGCTCTGATGTATTGTGAAGTTAGCGACTTTGCCACCCCGCCAGTATATGTAGTAGCTTGTACAGAGCGAATGAGATGATTTACGCGTTAATATCACGAGTGATTTAAATGCGGCATTCGCTTGCCATTGTGGCTGAAAATCGATTTGCTATAAAGTACTGCTCACTCATAAAACAATCAGCGGTAATTGCAAAATATAAAAGTAAAATATTGCATTTGAAATCCTGAAAATCCTTTAATTCATTGTTTTACCCCTTTTCCTGTGTTCTTTATATATGTCTACTGGTATATTTTATTTATTTGTTTCAAGGTAACTACATGTTTAAAAATATTACATTATTTATGTTTATAAAGTTCTTGCAAGTAGTTCATAGTTTATGGCTGATCTATGTTTTACGGTTACTAATTAAATTTTACTGGAAATTCTTCAGTTGCTACTCACTGATTGAAATTTATAACGACTGAACAGGCAAAAAATGAAGTTTACAGGTTGTGTAAAAATGTATGTTATTCTTGCATGCCACGGAGCGAGTTTGGCGCAACCGCACAATGCTTAGCTTTCGAAAGAGTGGAGGGGCGAGGAACACTTAACAGCCCGGAATGAAGATATTTGTGTGGCTTCTAACAGTTCCTCAAATACAGCACCCACATATGAACTAGGACCACTGAAAACACTGACCGTTGATGCGGTGCATTTTAAAGTTTCGAAAAGCAGAATTTTTTTTTAAGTTTTGCTCATAATAATTCCCTTAATGCTAACGGATGTACACTAAAACAACATTAAATGTGCAGATATGGGGCACGTCAAGGAAATGAAACGTAGGTCTAAGCGTATATGTGTGTGCCTGTGTTTTGTGATTCATTTTACGAAATTGTCAATATTTAGACTATATATAGACTGTATGTAGACTATATGGCGGCGAATGGTAGGATTCTTCATGGATGATGATTCAAAAAGGATAAAGAAGGGAAGGGCAGCAGGCTGATCTAGTTATGCCCCTGTATTTTTCCGAAGGAACAGAAGAAATACACGAAAACACTTTTGTCAAAACAACCAGTGTCCCGGCGTGGATTCAAACCAAGCACTTCCAGAAGAAAGTATAGAGCGTTACAGCTGCAGCAAACTCGTCGGTCTGAGCATAAGGAAATGACAAAATAAATCTGACATAGTGACATAGAACAAAAAAAAAAAGTCCATAATTTAATTAATTATCACAGCTTATTTCCTTAAGCACGAATGGGGGAGACGAGGAATGCGTATAGGATATTGGTGGGAAAGCCTGAAGGAAAGAGACCACTGGGAATATGAAAACGTGGGTAAGTGGACAATATTAAAATGGATCTTAGAGAGATAGGATGGGATGGTATTGATTGAATAGATCTGGCTCAGGATAGGGACCAGTGGAGGGCTCTTGTGAACACCGTGATGAACCTTCGGGTTCCATAAAATGCTGGGAAATTCTTGAGTAGCTGCAGAATTGGCGGCGCCTCCAGAAGGGCTCAGCTCCATGAGTAAGTAAGTAAGTAAGTAAGTAAGTATTTCCTTAAGTTGTTACGAGACCATAACATTATGACTTTTCTTGCTGAACAGGTTATTTGACCATGAACGTCAGGACGTCTACAATTTTCAAGTCGTTGCGACGGATGGAGGGCGTTACGACGCCAGGTCGCAGAAGGTGCCTGTTCAGATCACAATCGGTGACAACAACGACAACAAGCCAGTGTTCTCTCGTTTTCCATTCAGCGCCGAAGTGCCGGCGTACTCACAGCCCGGGCATAACCTTCTACGGGTGACCGCCGAAGACCAGGACGAAGGCACGAACGCGGACATTGTGTTCAGTTTTGTGAACGAGCCTTCAAACAACAAGTTTCGTATTAACCCGAACACTGGGATCGTCACAGCGGCTTCCAGTCTTGCTTTGGAGTCAGGAAAATTGTTCCATCTCGAGGTCCTGGCTAGGGATAAAGGAAATCCTCCGCAGAGTGCGACAGGACTCATCGAAATAAAGGTGGGAGAGAGTCCTGAGGGAGCGGCGACACTCAGGTTCCAGAACACATCCTACGTGGTTCATCTCCCTGAGAACGCACCAATCGGCAGAGAAGTGGCGCAGGTAAATTTCCCGAACTTTCTGCCTCTCATGCTTACGTCATCTACGTATACAGATTAACTGATAATTTATTCTCTCATTGTTATATTTTAGCGTCCTGTTGCACTGATTCATGTCCATGATGTGTATATTTATGCTAGCCGTCTTACAGTGCACACAATTTCACCTTTCTCTTCACTTTTACACTACATATTTCGGCACTAATGTGCCATCTTCAAGTGTGTGTCTATCCACGTCAAACTACTGCACTGCATGCACATTAGTGCCGAAACATGTAGTGTAAAAGTGAAGAGAAAGGTGAAATTGTGTTCTTCTCTCATCTTTTCTCTTTACTTCATTTATTTCTTATTCTTCTTTCGATTTTCATTTTCAATCATTTATCTTCCTTAAATTATTATTAAGTTTCTGCCACTTTTCTTATTTTGTTCAATTCATTCCTTCTTTATCTTATTTCCCGTCATTCCTCGTCCCTTGGACCTTTCTCCCCGGTCACAAAGTGGCCTTAACCCAAGCTGACAACACCCCTCCTTAGAGTACCAAGGCTAAGAATCTGAGGAGCTTTACCTCCAGATCTCCCTCTTTAACTCTACGGTACAGTGCTTTGGCGCATGGAAAACTTCTTTTCACATCTTTAAAACAGGACTGTCCAAGTTTAAACCGCTGAGGGGCTGCATTATACCTTGCTTACCTACCCACGGGCCGTATTTTAGAGATGTGTTATTTTTCAGCATATCTATATATCTGCAATGGTTAGATTTATGTACAAGTATCAGAAGCACACGTATACGAATTGGACTTGTAATGATTCAAAATATTGATTTAAATATAATGTATTTTAATCTTACACGACGGTACCAAAATTATTTGATGAATTCTCTTTAAAAAAAGATAAACCTATAACTTGTACTCTTCTCCAAGTATAATTAGAATGATCAAGTCATGAAGATAAGGTTGGCAGGGGATGTAGCATGAATTGGGGAGGCGAGGAATGCATATAGGATATTGGTGGGAAAGCCAGGAGGAAGAAGACCACTAGGAAGACCAAGGCGTAGGTGGGTGGACAATATTAAAATTGATCTTAGAGAGATAAGATGGGATGGTATGGATTGGATTGATCTGACTCAGGATATGGACCGGTGGATGGCTCTTGTGAACACGGAAATGAACCTTCGGGTTCCGTAAAATGCTAGGAAATACTTGGGTAACTGCAGATTTGTCTTCTCCTCAAGAAGGACTCACCTCCATGAGCAAGTAAGTAAGTAAGTAAGTACTTTTTTATTGGTAGTGGGGTGGGACTAAGTCCCTTGTACTGCCGGCACTTCTGGCCTATTGTACCAGCCCCAGATGATAGGTGAGGGTGATTGTGGAGCAATTGGTGGAATGAAGATTGGCAGGGGAAACCGAAGTACTCGAAGAAAACTTGCCCCAGCGCCACTTTGCCCACCACAAATCCCACTTGACCAGACCCCGGGATCGAACCCGGACCACCGCGGTGGGAAGCCAGTGACTAACTGCATGAGCTATGGCGCGGCAAGTAAGTAAACCCCCCACTCTATATTCTCCTTAGAAGAGTGGGTGCATCTGCACTTATGTGAGCAGTAGCGAGTCGAAGTAAATTGGGGAAGAGATTCATTATTAGTGAACAAGAATATCGCCAATTTATGTACCTCATGGTTGAGAAATTGCATCAACTGAAGTAGGTTCTCGCAAGCGAAGGAAGATTTAACGCCCATTTGGAGAAGAGAAGAGAATACTTGAGGGCCGCAAGCAGCCATTCCCGTGTGGCTCGCGTGCCTCCACTTAGACAACCCTGTCTTAAAACGTGAACGACGTCTTCTTCTTCGTCTTCACCTTGAGTATTTTGAAGCACCTCGCGAGGCTCAGAAATCGAGGTTTTACGTTAACATGTCCCTGGGTCCTTTTAAATTTCATTTTTTGTCTACGAGTGTATTATATGCGATCGTAAAGAAATGCTCCCTGTGTTTACTCACTTTCGGGGTAAATGTCTATTGCGCTTGCTGAGATGTGTTCTGGGGAAGACATAAGAACAGCAACTCCCTTCTGATCCCTTTACAGAGGAAAGACATGATGCTCGCGTAAAATATATCGGATCCCTCTTGGGTTCTGTCTGCTTTTAAGTGGCAGTTCTTCGTATCAGTAACTGTAATTGTGCCTTGCAGTCAGCTTCTTATTCTCCGTTGTGTTGTGTCTTGTCCGAAGTAGCGATCTCAGACATTTCAGTCGGTCACTATGACCTTAACTCTTTTAATCAGCGATTGCTTACATAATTTACTACTACTGCGGGTTAGTGAATGATGAATGGGGACAGATTCGGAAGGAAATGGTACTGGGCCATTTAAAGATATTTTCCCTGTATCTGCCAGAGTCGGGATAGCGACTGGCTATGAGCTGGACGACCGAGGGTTTCGAGTTCGAGTCCCGGTAGGGTCAAGAATTTTCTATTCTCCACATCGTCTAGACAAGCTCTGGGGCCCACTCGATGTCCTATCTAATGGGTACCTTTCCCTTTAGGAAAACGGCCGGGACGTGAAGCTGACCACCTAGCTCCAACGAGTGCCGAGGTCGGGAACTCCTCAGTGAAATTGTGCTTAAATATTTAAGCACAGGGACAATTTTACCTTTTTTACCTTTCCCTGCACGTGCCTAGGGAGACAGAGGAGAAGCGCTGAAGATTTCAGGCAGGACGGTGTGCCTGCGAGTCGCGAATCAATCCCGAATAACGAATCTCGGTCCGACCAGAAAAGAATGCGTAGTCCTGGGGCCTGATACACCCAGGGGCAGATTTCAAGGTGGGGAGTCAATATATTCGATTTTAAAAGACTGCATAACAGGTTGCCTATCTTATCTATCATCTTAAACACGATGTTTGCTACCAGTTCACAGATAAGCGATTGATGTGCTGATTAGGTATAATAGGTGGTTGTGATGTTTTGTGCAGCATCTCTGGGATGTTTTGTTTTATTTTATTTTCGTAACAAGCTTGATGTATGGTTTCATCATCTGATTAACGTGCAATATTATGCAAATAAAGCGTTGGCGGCTAGCATTGGAATATACGTATTTCATGATATGGAAAGACAATGGTCCTCGATTTTCAGAACAAATGAAGCTGCCAAATGACAAGAATATTGAAACGTACTTGAAAGACGTTTCGATATGTCAGACACCCACACAAGATACGTATATTCCTAGCAAAGTTTAGCATTTCTTGAGGAAACTTATAAAATATTCACAATAGCACCATGTCTGGAGCACGCGGTAGCGTAGTTGGTTGAAGTGCTTTGCTGCAAGCCGGAAGGTTTTGGGTTTGATTCCCGATGAGATTATTGGATTTTTTAATTGACTTAATCCCTCCAGTCGGGTTCAACTCAGCCTCTAACGGGAATGAGTACCAGGAATCTTCCTGGAGGTAAAAGGCGGCCGGCGCGTAAGGCTGACAACTTAACCACCATCTCTTAGCCGACTGTCTAGAATATGTGGAGGCCTCGTTGTCTCACAACCTTATGGGCCTGAACGGCCTGTAACAGGGATAACACTCTTTTAATGCAAATGATTAACAAAAGCATGTTTATATTTATATGAACATGCATGTACATTTACTAGGTCTATTCTTAAAAATATGTACTTGATTCGATATTCTTAGGCATAGAATGGAACGAAATTTTTAATGACAATTTTTTTCTTTTGAATAGAAAATTGCACTGGAAACAATTTGATGCCCACGTATGCACAATACTGGAAGGAGGGTGCCCTACCCTTTACAATCACCTCCCAAAATATGTCAGAACGTTGTAAAAGGAACAATAAATGGTATTGTGCTGATAAATTTAAATCATAATTTCTAAACTTGTATTACTCTTCTATTTTACTGGCACCTCCAGTAAGTTTTTACAAAAAAAAAACTCCGTGGTCTGTATTCCGCAAGCGAACTATACCGACCGAGCGACCGCCGCTTGTCGGCGAAGTTAGTGCCAACTTTAGCCGATAGAGAGTGTCGCGTGGTCAGCGCAACGAATCCCCATGGCCGTTAATCTCGGTTTTCTAGACCGGTGTAGGTTTTTACAAGCTGCTATATATACTGTAACTAGGAAACACGATTGATCGTGGAATATATATTTGGTTTCGTCACTGATTATTCTACGAAATGAAATAGCAACTGATGATTATAATCAGTTATTCTGCCACCATAATACGAATTATCGCTTCCTTCTCTCACACATAAAAAATGCGAATTATGTGTTGAAGGTAATTGTGTCTCGGATACTGCCTTTAGTTTTGCAATTCACCGTTTAAATTTAATTGCTGGATTTATTTACTGAAATTGTATTGACCTTGTATGTTACGTCTATCACAAAATTCATCACATATGGTGGACATATTCAGTCATCTTAGTTTTGTTTAAAAACGTCATTTCCTATGCCACCTCGGCTCCGTGTGAAACAGAATTGTGAGACCTGCGGGCGTAATTTTGGGCCGATTCATCATCATCATCATCAGTAATCTGTCAGACGACAGGTCCACAGTCTCTTCCAAAACAGTTTCTCCACTTAATGCGATCTTCTGTTTTTGGAAAGAGACTATCCAGGAAAAGTGATAATGTGGTAGTTTTTCCATTTGCTTTCCACATCGCAGTACAGCAGCCGTTCAAACCACTCTGGTCACGCCTGTTGCTATACGAACTTGAACCATCTCGAGCATCATTTGCTCTGTGCTTCAAGTCGCTGCTGATGACGCTGCTTCCGACATCAGTTTTTGGTGTCTCTCTTCGTCTGATGCCTACCCTTTGACCTGTCCAGCAAGGGAGGCCCTGCCAGTAGCTACGCTACCGCTGGTATAGCTCTCAGGGTCCTTGGCATACTCAAACCCCCTCACCACGATAAAGTGGAGATAAGGAGGGGGTGGGCCGATTAGATGGAGAAAATTCTATTCCCTGGCCTTCATTCGGTGTACACAACGGAGTGGGTTTCATACTTTCGTCTAAAAAATAGATCACCGCTAACTTTGAGAACATTTTGAAAATGAAAAATTGTTGAACATATGTCGGCTTAATAAGTCATATTTGTCTCAAACCTTCAGGGTTGACTATTATAGAGCCCTGCAGAATGGGCCCATAGGGCTGTTGCAACAATAGGGTCTTAATGGGCTACCACTGTTAACATGCAAAGAAATGTGGACATTTACTTGATGAAATCTTTACTGTAAAATAAAAAATAAGTAAAGGTATCACTGTAAGAGACCGTGGAGGCCCATAAGGTTGTGAGATGTTGAGGTTCCCACATTTTCTAGACAATCGGCTCATAGATGGCGGTAAGGTTGTCAGCCCTACGGTCGGCCGCCCTTTAACCCCAAGAATATTCCTGGTACTCATTTCTGTTAGAGACTGAGTCGACACTAAGGCCATAGTGCGGCTGGAAGGATTAGGGCAATTGAAAAACAAATCCAATGACCTCATCTAGACTTGAACCCACGACCTTCCGGCTTGTAGCATAGTGCCTCAACCAATTACGCTACTTTACTATAGTCTGACTAATGTGAATCACACGTAGGAACATTTTAGTGGTATAATAATGCGTAAGGTATTGTTAATTGCCGTCAAATTAATGATAGACGAAAAGGAATGGAAGTCCTTAATAGGGCAAGAGATGTAGGAGGCCACCAAGCAGGTGTTGTGTGTCAGGCAGTTGAAGTTTGGTTATGTAAAGCAGTCAACGCCCAGAAATCTGGAACCAATGCCATGCATCGGAGAATCTTGATAAAAGCAAAACGCCTCCTAACCACCGTAGATGTTAATATATTTGTTGACGCTAATGGGCCGGTAGGATACATTTATGGTAAAGATCTTACATTTTGCTTCTCGTAGACATTAACTTCTTTTGTCGTCTATATTAAGGATCGCGTCTGAAGCAACTTACAAAGGTTTCCGACGTTGCATATTTGTTGCTTATTTTTCTTCTAGTTTTATTCCTTCACGTTTTCAACTTAACTGTATGTGGAGACTAATGATGGTGAAGTAAAAAAAAATAATTCAAAAGAAAATTATTTCACTTAAGACCGTATAATTGAGAATAAACTTTAGGAAACTGTTTTCTTTCTGCTCTGTTTCATTTTATCCTCAATATATGATACCTTTTACACATATAAAAAAAATTTCAACTTGTTACGTTCTGTCTGGATATCAATGGTCATTTCCAGACTGTAACTTCCCTCCCCGAGCTGAGTCAAATATGTAAGTCATTTCAGTAAGAAATATTAACGGCTTTCCCTAGCAACAGATTCCTTCTTTTGGTGCCTCGGCTGTGCTAAATTATGTCCTCATGTTTCTCTGACAAACACTAGTTAAATTAGGGCATAAAAATCTGAAAGAATTCCGTAATTATTCCTTTGATACAATTCTTTGGTACATGCTCCATTTTAGATGTCAGATGTGTGAATTCAGTTTACGATTTCTGTAAGGCAGAAAACATTTGCTTTCGTATGTCGTGTTCCCCCTCCCCCTTCATGTTATTTCCGTCACCTTCTTTGAACATGTGACGTATTCCGTGAATAGTCCCAAATGAGATGTTTCCATCATTGGCCATTTTACGAGTCTGTCAGTATGTACATTATTTAAGGTCGAATGGTAGGATGATTGATGAATTAGAAAGGATTTGGAAGGAAGCGGTCCTGACCTAATTGAAATACCATCCCATATTTGTTTGGAGGGACTTAACCACGAAAAATATCAGCCCTAATAGCCCATGTGGGTGGGCAATATTACAATGGATCTTAGAGATATAGGATGGGATTATTTTGACTCAGGATAGGGACCAATGGAGGGTTCTTGTGAACACGGTAATGAACCTTCGGGTTCCATAAAATGCTGGGAAGTTCTTCAGTAGCTGCAGAATTGGCAGCTCCTCCAGAAGGGCTGAGCTCCATGAGTAAGTATAGCCCGTGTTCCAACTCACAGTCGAATGTGTACTATGTACTCTGAAATGCTGACATTGTTGTTAAATAAACAACAGAGAAATTACGCTGTGATGCCTGGAACAGGTATCGGCTGTGAGGACAGACGGACGGCGTCAGAGGATCACGTACAGTTTCGGTAGCGGCAACGAGGACTCTACGTTCGAGATGAGTTCCCAGACTGGGGCGATCCGGGTTCGGAACCCGTGGGTCCTAGACTACGAGACCCGCCCCACTCTGCGCCTGGTGGTGGTGGCACAGGCTGATAGCAGCTCCTCTGGACCGCCCCTTTATGGCTACTGCGATGTCTGGATTCACCTTCAGGACCAGAACGACAACGCCCCGAGATTCACACAGCAGCAGTATTCGGCAGCGGTGTGGGAGGGGAACAACAAGGGGACGTTCGTCATGCAGGTGAGCATCCAGAAGGACTTAAGACTTCCTTTGAAATCTCAATATTTATTTGGGGTTCATGAAAACATAAAACATCAGGCCGTTTTCATGAATTTACTGAAGAAGTCTTGTGTATGAGGACATATGAACATCGTAATAATAGAAATTCCACCGTCAGCGCAACTATAAATTATTACCTTATATTCCACTACATGTTTCGATCCTTATAGGGTCATCCTCAGGTGTTGTGGTTTAATCACTTTCATTATTGAATTGTAAAGCTTGTATTCACATTTACATACATAAGTTTAAAATGACTACATGTATGTTTATGTTCTAACTGCTAGATGTTGATTTAAATACAATGTAAATATGAAGTAAAAGTTAAAAATTAAATATTAATTTCACTAATTTTAAAATTAATTTAAAAGTGACGTATGCAGTATTCAGCTTAGTGTCTGTTGCTGTTTTCTGATTTTCTATTATTGGCTAGATTCTTTTGTGTTAACTGTTTCTTGAGCACGAATTTATCTTCTTTCTTATTACCAGGATGTCAAGTGTTACTGTTGTGTTGTATAGTTTATGTCATATTCTTTGCTGCGTGGTCATGTTTATAACAACGTAATTGCATCCCCTTCTTCTTCATGACTTCTTGAAACAATTGCTTTTGTCAGATTCGTGAAGACATGAGAAAATTTTGTCTGTCCTTATGCCATCCTGAAGAATCTCATTGTTAATGATGGGTTCATGAGGACATAAAGACATCCTTTCCTTCTTTGTACCTTAGCAGACAAACAAAGCATGCGGATATATTGCTGATGATAAGGGATTACTTTGTATCAAACAAGAGTGGAAAGTTGTAATTTAATATATTAGAGAATGCATGTTATTCAAATATGTTCTTTGACATTTGCGTACCTAAAGCATATTTATTTATTATTGTTAACATGTCTGAAGTTATAAAACTAACGACACAACAGATATATGACACATATGCAGAAAATGGTTGTATTCTTTATTTTGTTTAATATCATGTCGGTAAAAATATTTCAAATTAAAAATTGCATGTCTCACTGAGATTTGTTTCGTTTTTAACCAGTTCTTTTCAGTGGTTGACTGGTTTTTGAATGTCCGCTAAAGTATAAGTTATACTCGACTTATGCACACCAAATTAAAACAATTTCAATGTAGACTTCAACACAAAATTTAATCAAAATCCATTCATTAATTTGGTATATGAAACATGTAAATAATCTTGACATATCCTCTAGTTTAATGTGGTTGTTGAACAAGGGAATGTGTACCTCTTATTGTGGGCATACCCAGTATAATTATTGTTTGATCATTTTCACTCAGAGAATCGGGACTGCTGACCCTTACACCGAATTTAGATTTATCTTCATAACCCCATCACACGTTTGTCCCATCAGACTGATCAGATTTTCTTTCTCAGGTCTCTGCCACAGATGCAGACCAGGGAGCGAACTCCCGAGTCCTGTACCATATTGTGGACGGTAATCATGACAACGCTTTCGTAATTGAACCGCCATTCTCAGGGTTAGTGAAGACCAACATTGTCTTGGACAGGGAGATCAGGGATGCCTACCGCCTCACAGTTATTGCCACAGATGAAGGGGTGCCACAGCTAACAGGCACTTCCACCCTGTGCATTAACATCGTGGATGTCAACGACAATCAGCCTACCTTCCCCCCTCACAGTGTCATCAGTGTTAGCGAGGGTAAGTATATGCAGCGAAACGTCCGCATGGATTGGTTTTGTGTTGTGGTGGCCCTGCATTTAATTTGGCATGCGTGCTTTTGAAATAGCGTGTTAAAAACTGAGGAATGAATCGTTGTATGAGGTAGCTTAATAAATGAGATATGTCGCCTGGTTTCCGTTCCTGAGAAGGGCAAGAATTCTCTCTTCATCATAAGATATATGAAGTCACTAGGGCCCACCAGCATCTCACCAGATGTGAACCAAGGACTCTTTCTCTAGAAGTGAAGCTGCGGCTTTATAAAGCTGACCATTCACACCAAATTCCAAGATCAAGAATCTATGTAGCTTTATCTGTGCTCCATGGTTTGGTACTTGGGCACTAAGGATCTTCTTTTTTACATCAGTTGTCATGTTAGAGTTTAACGGGGGTCAGTTTCCATCCCAACAATATAAACGGAGAAAGACTATCCTCTCGAAAGAGACGACACGAAAGAGACACACGATATGAAACTCCTCAGTATTGTCCCTAAAAAGGGCAACTATCTCCACCTTTCCTGTCTGCAGTGGCCCTGAAGAAGGCTGTTTTGTCATGTTTTCCTGTTCACCATCCTTCCAGCCGCACTATGGCCCTGGGGTCGACTCAGCCTCTAACAGAAATGAGTACCAGGAATATTCTTGGGGGTAAAGGGCGACCGGCGTGTAGGGCTGACAACCTTGCCTCCATCAATGAGCCGATTATCTAGAAAATGTGGAAACGTCAACATCTCACAACCCTATGGGCCTCCATGGGCTGGTACAGGGATATATTTACTTTTTTTTTACTTATCGTCCTTATAAGCCTAGACAGGGCCCTGTATCCTCCGTTCCTGCTATGGCCCTTACTGATCCTTGTGACACTTTCCGTGTAACATGGACATATGTAATATTGACCGAAATTTACGTTTGCCTAAAACGCTGCAATACCTGAGGTTGTTAAAACTCAGAAGAACGCAGTCTGAATTTTAATTGTCGTATTTACCTGATCTGCTGAATCGTTGCCGATTAGAATGACAAGGTGTGGCGACAAGTTGAGTACGCGTCATTGCAAGGACGAACGCCCTAACCTCGCGCGAGGGTAGCCCTGCCTTGGCAGGTGCTAGAACAGCTTTAAAGAGTTAAATAGAATTCCCGTACGTGAGAATAGTTCTAATAACTCTCAGTCCCCCCTTCGGCCATCAGGAGTCTGTTGGAATATATAACAAGATAGGCGTCCTCTGTGGATTAGTGGCCATATGGAATTGTGCCTCAGAGTTCAGTGCCGGACTGGTGAAGAACCTTTTCACAGTCATAATAAAGTATCAGTTTACATAATATGACATGTAGATCCACTGCTAGGTAACGGGACAGTAAACACGCATGTTTGACAACAGAAGAAGTGTTTTCTATTTGGTTCGCGTATATCCATGTCTGGGAAACGGATGTGTTTTTTATTATTGTAATAAAATAATGAAACAAATCAAATTCATCTCATTATTTACAAAAACTGACAATTGTTCCTCATTCTGAATCATTTCATTCTAGTCAACATTTTTACACCATACTTTTCGAATATCTATTTCATTATACTCCAGAATGTCCGTTGTGGTGTTTTTCCTTAGCGGTTGTGTACCGAAATTTCATGTAGGTTTATTATTTCTCCTTGTGCTTTACATATTTCGTCCATCTCATTGTTGTATTTATCATTTTAATTGTTACCCTTTCAACTTCTGTGAATGAACTGTATTCTTGTAATCCTCACACAAGGAAACGTAATTTCGTCATCATAAGGGTTATGCGTCACACCTCACTTGCACTGTGCTGTTTCTATTACTTTCTAGCTTTTCAATTGTCAGTTGCCTTTGTCAGAAAGCGTATGTAGATTCAGTCCACATCTCCGCCCAACTGTTTATGAAATAGTTATGCCATTGACATGGATAGTGATTGGTACTGGGCTGTGTGACTTTCATGGTGTCGTAAATTTAGTTTTGTGGTATGCAGGGAAGTTTAGATGTTTTGCTTGGAAGGACAAGAGCAGTATTGGAACTGCAACGAGGACATTCATGGTCACATTCCGTTGACAGATGTTAGTTTTATTTCATTTCTGTCGAGGAATTTCATGTCAGTTTTAATATCAGTGGTGAACTATAACCTTTGGAAGTAGACTCTTATTCTAAAGCGCAGGAATTCACCAAGTTACTCCTCCATAGTAACCATTTTCAAGGTCTAATTAATTGAAAAAAAGAAGTTGGCCTATAATATTTACGGAATTACGTACCCATATTTTGCGTTCTCATTTTCTAATTCTGATTTTAATGGTTAATTTATTATAATTTTACGTAAACCAACTAAATGATACGAGTCTAAGAGATAGAGGCTGAGTTTTTGGATTTATTTGTTAAATATTTTTACCGGTGTATTCAAAACGGGCTCCGATCTAGAAAACCGAAATTAACGGCCGTGGGGATTCTTTGTGCTGATCACTTGACACCCTCTATCCGCTAAAGTTGGCACTAACTTCGCCGACAAGCGGCGGTCGCTCGGTCGGTATTGTTCGCTTGTGGACTAAAACCACCGAGTTTTTTTTAATTCAAAACATCATATGATTGTGTATATTGTCTTTATCAGCATGAGAGGCAATGTGATTTACATAGGATCCACAACTGTTTTTTGGAAGTTTTAAAAATGTCATGTATATGTCAAGAAAATGTGAATCTATACATCCATTAACCCATACGCCTTCATGGCGTAGTGCTTAATTAGTTAAGCACAGGAAATTATGTGAAATTTATTTTACAAGATTTGCCGCCATCCCTGTTTTTAGGGGGTGGGGCTGGACGAAAACTTTGAGCCGTACTTTGGGGCATGCTGGATACTCCAGCGTGCCGTACAAACCAACTGCAGGACCCACTCCGCCACACGAAGAGCCCTGGTTTATATGTCTTTTGTGATCGTATTTTTAAGTATCCTGTGACTAATGTTGCGGATCCAATGGCCGCCCAGTCTAAGGCAAGGACTATCATCGTCCTCTGACACCGGGGTCTTGGGTTCGAATCAAACTGAAGGCATGGATGTCTGTGTACGTTTATTCTGTGTTTATGTTGTTCCATGTGTAGGTAGCGGCATTTGGACGGACTGATCCCCCCGTCCAATTAATCCTACCGACTGTGTATAGGATTAAGAAACTGAAAAATCGGTGAAGGTCCAATATAGGGCTGTAGGACCATGGAGAGAAAAAAGAAGGAAAAAATGGTGCATGTTATAGGTTGTGTTGTATCAGATAACTAAATAACCACATATATGGGGATTATTTTCGTCTGTGATGTGATGCCGTGTTATTTACGAGATATTTACCAATATTTCAGAGCGATACACTGCCTCAGTCTTCAAGGTAAATATTTGGTCATACTCATCGTCTTCACAATCCGAGAGACAGTGCTCTTCATACGTACTGCCATTCGAGCCCTGGAATTCTCATGATCATTTTTATTCTCTTCTGATATTCCTTCATATTTTGAGTTAGAAGACTCACGAATTCGATGATTCACATACTTTTGAGCACCCTGTTTTTAATATTTTCATGTTGTAATTTTGCGCATCAAACTGTATATGCTTCAACAAATTTGTATCTCATTTCAATGAAGATCAAATATGAATTATTAAAAACAAAAAACACCCCCAGTTAGATGATATTTGCACTGTCCACTGGAATAAACTTATGTATCATTTGTACAAACATTTAATTATATATGTGTTTTAGGTACTGAAGTTGGCACAGTGCTAACAGCTGTCACTGCCAATGATGTGGATACGAACCCAGCACTCACGTATGGATTCTCGACAGACAGCGATTCAGAAGCTGGTATCAGTGACGCAGAAGCTACAGGCTTGGGGGTGTTCAGTATTGACAGGTTCAGTGGCAAGATCACGCTCGTTCAACGTCTGGACTTCGAGTCCCAGCGTGAATACCATCTGAGGGTAACAGCTTCAGACACTGCCCACACGGCGCGCACTGTACTCACTATCAGGGTGACTGATGTTAATGACAATCCTCCCATCTTCATGCAGTCCTCGTACCAGGCATCACTGCCCGGTGAGTACCATGCCATATTCATTTCAACTGTGTCTTGTTCCTCTAACTTCACGTTGGTCCCATTTCTGCAACTGAACTCTCTCACCTATTCTTATTTCTTTTTAATTTGTAATCTTATCTCAGTAATATACCAGTCTCTGCAAATATGCTTTTGTTCATTATCATCATCTCTTCTTTATCTAAATGTCGTCCTGTTTATTTTTCAAAATAAGACGTTTCGGAGATTGGTTCCGTCTTCCTCTTCAGGTAAAACCTACGCAGTTAGGACCAATCGATACGGACTAGCTCTATCGATTGGGCCCAAATGAGTATGTTTTACCTGAAGACGGAGACAGAATCCAGTCTCCGAAACGGTATGTTTTGAAAAATAAACATCACGGTGTTTTACATGAAAACAGGACGATGGATAATATCCAAAACCATAATAGTTGTACTAATGTACCATCGTCACAAACTTTTAGGTCTTATAACAGTCTCTTGTTAGACTGTTGGTATAATGTAATCTGTAATTATAACACTCTTCTTACTATCTTCAGTTGATTTTGTATTAAGCGTGTCATCAAATTACTGTTCACCTTCAGTGATAGTTAGAAAAACTCTCAATTCTGAGGGGACAGGGTTCCAGTCGAATGTGTGTTCAATTTATTGTAGTCTATGCAACAAAAGAACGGCTTTATTTGAAAAATTAAAACTTTTATTGGATAAAGGTAATTAAGAGTGCAGCGAATTTGTGGTATTAGAGTGTAGAAAATACAGTAGTTCTTTATGGGTTAAATTGTGGAATTGTATATGTGTAAATAAAAAAATTGGCACAAGGAATGCATACCACAGGAAAAACAAGAGTCACAACAATTGATAAACTAGAGCATATGCATATTTTTTGGATTCGTTCCTTACAGTTTTATAAAAAATACTGGTAGTGGTGTTCATTTAGTGGAGGCACAAATATATTTCCGTGGTGGCGACTGGCTATGGGCTGGACAACTGAGAGGCCGGAGTTCAAATTCCAGTAAGGTCAAGAATTTTCACTTTTCCATGTGTCCTGACCAGCTCTGGGGTCCACCGAACCTCCTATACAATGGGAACGAGGTATTTTCCTCGGGGGTAAAGCGGCCGGCGCATGAAGCTGACCACTCACCTCCAGCTAGTGCCGAGGTCAAGAAAATATGGCTCTATACATCCACTGCCCCATACGACTTCATGACATAGTCCTTGATTACTTAAGCACAGGGACAACTTTGCACTAAGAATCAAACTTATGGCGCTGTGACGATAACTTGTGAAAAAGCTGCATTATAGCAGTGAGAGGACTGTACCTAGTAAATTTTGCGGTGGGTAGTGTGTGTTTGTTGCACTGTGAGTGTACAGTCCAATTAATGAACTAAAATTTATGTTCCATAGTGGAAACGTAATTCATTCCTATCAAAATTCCCTCGTTTCTTTACGGGTGAGCGCCATGTACAGACAGATACCCACGCTTTGGGTGGAGTTCAGAGCAGGGATGGCCCTAGTACTATAATGGCTGAGATGTCACAAGTGACAATGTTCAGTCCCCCGTTCTCTTTCTGTTTTCATGCGACAAGACTACTCTTCACTCGGCAAACCGGTATTCTTGCTGTTTTACTTTCATCTTCTTCCCTCTTCCCACCCTATTTCTCTTCCGCCCCCCTCCCTCCACCCGCCATTTTACAACAATGTGGGCTGTTCGAAATGTAACCACTTCGAATCCAAAGTCTAGACTATTACATCACACCGTTCTTACTTCATGCACACGATTCTCGTGTTTGACGAGATATATGCGAGAGCTGAATTTAAATATGGCTCACATGCAACAGCTGACTGATTTCGGCAACTGATCGTGTACATACTATTTTTGTATGTTGATCCATTCTTGTGGATGGTTTTGAAAAGTGGTTAGTGGGTTACAGGTTATTCGCGACTGTCAGCATATGGAACAGATCAAAATCCTTTTCTGGCGTATCATTGCAAGAAAATGAATGCAGCATATAGCCATCAAATTCTGTCACAAACGTTTCAGGTTCGTCACAATATTTCTATAAACTGGAATGTTTGGCTGTAAAGTAGAAATGCAGGTAACTTTTAGGAGATAACTATGAGATATTTAGATGCGTGTTCTCATTTAACAGTGATAACTGGGATATTTTGAAGGTTAAGTTGAGAATGTGGGATATTACACGAGTTCTCATGGTTTACACACGTAAACTTGCTCTCTCTGGACATTGAATTTATGAGGCTATGACAGGAGATGTATTGGTGGGAAAGCCAGAAGGAAAGAGACCACTGGGAAGACCAAGGCGTAGGTGGGTGGACAATATTAAAATGGATCTTAGATAGAATGGGATGGTATGGCTTGGATTGATCTGGCTCAGGATAGGGACCAGTGGAGGGCTCTTGTGAACACGGTAATGAACATCCGGGCTCCATAAAATGCTGGGAAATTCTTGAGTAGCTGCAGAATTGGCGACTCCTCAAGAAGGGCTTAGGTCCGTCAGTAATGACAGGAGATGTAAGAAATGCATACAGAGCGTTATGAGGGAAATAGCTTGAGGTCACTTAATTGACCGAAAAGAATGATTATCTAATTTACTGTTATTTAACAAACCTAGTTGTTTGAGACACTATGCTAGAAGCCGGAAGGTCGCCGGTTCGAGTCCCGATGAAGTGGATTTTTTTTTTAATTAAGCTAATCGTTCCAGCCGCAATATGGCCCTGGGGTCGACTCAGCCTCTAACAGAAATGAGTACCAGAAATCTTCCTTGGAGTAAAGAGCGGCAGGCGCTCAAGGCTGACAACCTTACCGCCATCTGTGAGCTGATTGTCTATAGAAAATGTGGGAGCCTCGACATCTCACAATCCTATGTGCCTCCGCGGCCTGTTACAGGGATAGCTTAACCTTTTGTAATAATATAACCAAACAAAAAAACAAGCTCCGTGGCCTATAGTCCGCAAGCGAACTATACCGACCGAGCGAGCGATCGCCGCTTGTCAGCGAAGTTAGTGCCAACTTTAGCGGACAGAGGGTGTCGCGTGGTCAGCGCAACGAATCCCCACGGCCGTTAATCTCGGTTTTGTAGATAAGATTTTAATAATAATTATAATGGCTTTTAAACTGAAAGGCTTAAGACATTGTAAGGTTCTTTCCTAAAGATGATACCGACCTTGACTGGGTATGCAGAGAAGCAGTTAGCAGTTAGTCGAATATTTAATTAGTAACTCTACGCATTTATCGATTAGTTTTTAGTCGAAATTAGTAAGTTACTGGATTTGAGGTTCCGTGGGGGTGGTGGCTGTGAAGAGTACGACCTGCTGAGTTGTAATGCTTCGTAGTTCGGAGACAACCCGACTTTTCGGAGGAGCCTATGTTCTCCATCTTTAGGGTCCGAGCAGGAATCCAGCAGAAATAGGCGCAGGCTGAGCCCAGTCAATAAGCTGTTCAAATGATGTCAACTGATCACTTAGTGCTGCTGGAAAATACCACTGTAACAGTAGCAGTAGGTCTCGTATGCTTGTTCCATCTGCAGGGATTTGGAAGACGGGAAAGAAAGAAAGGATACCTTAAGTCTTACTTTTGGAGGTGGTTTCACAGCGGAGTCAGAAAACAGGTTTTCAGTAGACGTGTTGTCTGTGCGGCCGAAACTGAAGTTGACATTGCAGTGAAAGAAGCAGAGGGAATAAGATACAGCAAAGAAGCGAATACCATTTGGAAAATCCTTCTCCAAATATGCATCTACTTCATATTCCATCAGAAGGAGACTTGGCCCTAAACGACCGCAGTATCAAGTCCTCTCAATTTTATGAAATAAGATTTTATCGTATCTTACGAGTTAGGAAATATAATTGAATGACTTAAGGAATAATACGTGTTGAAACATATTTCAGTATATAAATTAAAGCAAATCACTAATATTTACCCAGTGGGATCTACAGTCTACACGACAATCTGATAGCGTTCCATTAATTCATGTGATTTCAGACCGGTTTCTGTGTCGATAAAGTGATTATGAAGATGTATATCATAATTTATAGAACTGTCTTGACTTGTTACTATATGTTACAGTACAGTAATATAAAACCGGATACCTACAGCCTGAATGAACTTGTCTTAAATACCATAAAAAGAAATCTGTACTTTCCTTTGGTAGTGACTTCATCAGCACAGTAAATAAGATTACATTGTCATGATTCTGTCTGCTACAGTTGACTAGTGATATTTTCTCTGCACTACACGTAAGTGTCATCTGGAATTATGTAGTGACATTTTCTTCATAACAACTGTTATGGTTATGCCGCCATGACTCGGTCGTCGCTAGTATCGTTTCTTCCGTACTAAACAAAATGATTTTACTGCTATGGCTTGTTCTTGAATTAGGTAGCAACATTTCCTCCACATCAGGTATAATGGTTGTATCACCATGACTCAATATTATTTAGTTAATTAGTGACATTTCTTAACGCTCACTCCAGTGATAACACCATGTTTCAGCCATATTGAATTACGTAGTGGCATCCGAGAATACTTTGTAGTCGAGTGAAATTAACGATATTGGAAAAATACCAGCGTCATTCTTTTTCTGGTATTGGACTTTTGTACATTAATATATACTTGGAGAACATTTACTTTATCCAGGACAATTTTAAGGAATATTTAAATCGATCATCGTGCGAAATATGTTTGTGAGTGTCCTGAACTCACAAATAATTTTAATTTTCAAATTTTTTGGGATATTTATCTGAATTGTAATATGAAATTAATATGATTATATGTTAATTCTGCCGCTAATGCTGCTGATGAAATTAACGGCAAAATTTTTCGAGACCTTAACGCTGCTTCATACCAAGGTCGTGTTTAAGTGTTGAAGAGGATAGAACGCCGGGCAGTCCTTTGAAATTCAGCCGACTTCTCTGAGGCGACATATTACATGGAGATATCGGTTGACTTTCAATGGACTGCACGGAGACAGAACTCAACATAACCCCCG